CGCAAATAATATTTAACGGCTAGGCGCTTGACGGTCGTCGGCCGGTAATGTTGTTGGTCAAGGTTAGCACTGTTAAGTCAAAACAGCATTCGTACAAACATACAGATGTTGCTGCTGCTGCTGCTCTCGCCGTCACTGCTGGATGCCACAACAATAGTAATAATGATGGCAGCATTACGAACTCCCGCACCTTTAAGACAGTGGTTTCTGTTGACCATTGAGTTTTGAAAAAATTAAGACCAACTACACATTGGCTTGTAAACTTCATAATTTTTAAATCATGATTTTCATTTTTAACTGGGGTGGTAAGAGTTCGTAGTAGTTTCTATTTCCCCATATGACGCTACTATATTTTTTAAACCGAGATCTTTAATATGATATATGCAGTTCCCATAAGTTTCGTCATAATCGGGTACCCTATTCGAGTTTTAATTTTTATACCCTCCACCATCAATACATGGTGATATGAAAAAAACTGCTACCAACTTCAGACTTCTGCCATTTCTGAGCCACTCGTCCGACAGCTGTTAAAATTTTACCAGTGACAGCTCATTATATTGTTTACAAGCGTACAAGAGCATTTTTGTGAAAATTTTCCAGGAAAAAAGTTATTCAAAATGGAATTCAAGCGTAATAGTGTGATCTCTGTATATTTGGCTGGAAAACCACAAGTGGCTATCTTTAGAGCATTCCAGCATATAAATGTGAATAAAGCTTTTGTGTCTTGTACCATCGCTCATTACCGTGATACTGGTAGCGTAGCCCGACGTCAAGGATGTGTACGGAAGTAAACAACAACATCAGCAGAAATGGTTCGAAGAGTAAAGAAGCGACTAGATCGCAATGGCGGAAAAAATGGCTCGTGAGATGAACATATCGCAATATTCCATTCGGTAAATATTGAAAAATGAGCTCGGGGTGAAGCCATTCAAATTCCAAAAAGTGCAAGAACAGAAAGCGGACAGAAAAAGAAAGAAAAAAGACTCAAAAGAGCTAAAGAGTTGCTTTGCATGGCCGAGAGTGGTGAACTGCCGAATTTGGTTTTCTCCGATGAGAAAACATTCGTTGTCCAGCAAAGAGGACAGCTGAAAATGTGCACCTTCGGTTGGCCACTAGAACTCAAGCGCCGGCCATGGTGACCGTGGCATCAAAATAAATGCCAAATATTATGGCGAAAATATTCTGGAGTGTATATTAAAAATTCAGCACTATCGCACTCAGCACGCGCCACCAAAGATTGGTTACAAAATGAGATTCCTCACTTTATTTCCAGCGCACAATGGCCACAAAAGTCTCTGGGTACCAATCCATTGGACTATTGTGTCTGGAGTATTTTGGAAAGCAAGGTTGCCACTAAAAAAATACCAAAGTGTTGATCACCTCAAGCAAGCGCTTCACAGGGAATGGGTCAAAATATACTTATTTTAAAATTTGATGCTATTTGCCATATATATGGGTCAGGGTTTTGAAAAATGTTCTTCAAAGTCCTCGGATATAGCTTAAAAGATGTTCATAAAAAATTGCTATTGTAGCCCCAACAAGGGGAAAAAGCAGTTAAGTTCGATACCCTCCACCAATAGGGAAATATATTTTTTTTATCTTTTCTATATATTTTTAATTTTTGTTTTAAACGGTGAATTTGAAATTTATGATCCAAATAGATCCATTATCGCAATATGATTATTTTTTATTAAGACTTTGGTAAAAAGTGTCATCAATACGCAGTCCTATATAGACAAGCTTCATGTAGGGGAAGACAGTCCCATTAAAAATTTACCAAAATCGTGAAAAAGCTGGGTGTATATGGGGGCAATATGCAAATGAATGCCTATTTACACAAGTATTTGTCAGAGTCATAAGCACAGATTAAGAACATCACAAATCGGATTTCGGGTAAATCCACTGAAAAATGTGGCTAGAGTCATCAAAATACCGAATATCGCGAGGTATCGTTATATGGGGACTATACGATATCGTGGATCTATATAGACCATTCTCTTACAGGGGGGTAACATACCCGATAAGAACTTCATGTGCAGAGATTCAAATAATTTCATTGAAAAATGTGGATAAAATCATCAAAATACCGTATGTCGGGAGGTACCGCTATATGAGGACTATACGATATCGTGGACTGATGTAGCCCATCTTAGAACTAGACCTGCTATAGACAAAAGACTAATATGTGCATTTCAGCTATTCGTTTCGACTCTATTGTGATTTCAACATTGGTCAGATTGGACTGATCAAGAATGTATATACTTTGTGGGGTCTAAAATCATTATTTCGATAAGTTACAAACGGAATGGCAAATTTAATATACCCTCCATATTACGTATGGTGGAGGTATAAAAATGATATAAAAGATCCACTATTTTAGCTCTCAAAATTACTCTTATAATCCTCGATTATAGCTGTCATAAGTCTTAAAAATTATCGACTATTGCTATCTAAATCTGTGTTAGAAATCTTTGATATTGATTCTCAAAAATCAATTCCCTTAAAATCCACTATTTTAGCTCTCAAAATATTCTTTCAAAGTCAACACCTAAAGACATTCTATGGTAATAGTATTCAAAAGTACTTGAAAAAATTCACGCAGCTCTCAAAATCCTCTATTATTACTCTAAATTTTTTTTCTTAAAATTCGCAAAATGTTGTCTTAAAAATTCACTATTATAGCTCAAAAATAAAATCTTAACATTTTGCTGTTATGGCTTTCAATACTATTCTCAAATCCTATAAAAAATTCTCTTGAAAGTCCGCGCTTATAAAAATTAGTTTTAAAATTTCGCATAGACACTAAAAAATGAATTGACACTTTTTTAGAAAATACCATTTTTAAGTTATGTTAACCTCTAAACACTTATAAAAATATCTGACTATGCTTTTAAGATATTCGTACATCGTGTAAAACCACAGTGCGTAACTTATTACGTTTTGATCTGCGGCCAACTTCAATTGATTGAGAAAAATATCTATTCATAAAAATGAATAACAAACAATTGTTGTTTTGTTTATGATCGGTTTGTCATTTGGTGGTTTTAATGGCGTGCTATAGTACTACCCATCCGTCTCTGTTCATCGATTCGGCAGCATAACATCTACTACACATCAATCGAGTCGCTCATCCTCATAAACGCCAACCAATGCAAAGCAAATAGTTAAAACACAAAACTATTCGTAATCTATGAAATCGTGTGCTATGTTATGTCTTCGATAGTTAAGAGGGCTTACTAACACCCCAAAGACCCAGACGAATGCCACGGATGTTGTTCACCCGCACATTATAGAGGTGTTTGCATTGCAGGAACTTGAACTTTTATCTTTAGATTGTTTTTTATTTTGTTTATTTTGAATTTATTTTTTTTCTTTTGCAAAACAAAAATACCCTCAGGGGTTAAGATATCCAAAAATAAAGATATTAAAAATCTATTAAAAATTGAGCATACGTCAATTTACGAAATAAAAAGCAAGACACAAAACAATGCCGGTGATACAAATGATGGATGAAATAAACACCCAGACAGGTTTTTCTATTTCAAAGCAAATAAATGCTGCTGGTTGTGTGCGTGTGTGTGGCAAGAAGATATGGAAATCCATCTTATTTATGGGTGTCATAATTTGACCATCTTTTTAAGTGTCTCTGTAATCTATTTGTAATCGCAATTCAAATTTGTTATTTTTATACCTCAAAAGGTGGAGGATATAAATATTCGTCGTAGACCCAATAAAGTATAATATATTCATAATCAGCATAAAATTCTAAAGTCGATTTAACGATGTCCGTCCGTATGTCTATACGCCTGTTGAAATCACGATACAGCCCACATTATTTACGTAGAGCTTCAAAATGCGGCAGAACAATTTGTATTGTGTGTAGGATAGTTGGTATTGAATATGAGATATATCGATCCGTTTTGATGTAGCCGCCATATAACGGTACCTGCCCGATGTTCGATATTTTCAGGATTTGTCATTAACCAATTTCAGGATTTGTCTAAAAATTGGTTTTTGTAGGTCACGATTGGTTCTAGCTCCAGCGGCAAAACATTGTCAGTATAGATCCACTTTTTTTGTATAGCCCCCAAATAACGGTACCTACCTATAGTGGTGTTTTGATGATTTTTGCATATTTTTCCACGGATTGTCTAAAATTGGTGTTTGTAGTTCATAATGGGTTCTAGCTCCGGCGGCAGAACGTTGAAAATTTAGGTCCACATTTTCCTATAATGCACGTATAACGATATCTACCATTTCTCGGTATTTTAATAATCCTAGTCACATTTACCCATTAGATTTTGTAGATGAAAATCCGTGAAGGATAAAATTGTCTATAGAGGTTCCCGTTTTGGTTATGGTTTTTCGAAAAGTTTAACAGCATTATCCAAACGGTATTACTGGTATTTGTAGTTTAAAGTGGGACACGTTTGAATTCAGATAATTTTATATAAAAATGTTTTTTTGTGCCCATCGGTGAAGGGTATTAAAAGTTAGACCCGTCCGAACTTTATGTTTTTTTATCCCATCCACATTTAGACCTCACAGCATAAAATTCTATGTCGATTTAGCGATGTCCGACCGTGTCAGTCTATTCGTCTGTGGAAATCACTTTAGCTTCCGAACAAATTGAAGCAGATTGATAAAATTTATGTAGGTAGGTCCACGTTTGGTAGAGCCCCCATATAACGGTACCTCCCGATACTCTTTATTTTGATGATTTTAGCTACATTATAAACAGATTTTTTTCAAGTTTCGCATTTGAATATTGTAATGACTTATGACAAAAGTTACCTAAGCAGGTCCATGTCGTCGTATAGATCCTAATATAACAGCAACATTCGGTATTTTTAAGATTTGTACAGAATTTTTAACGGATTTTATTGCTTTTGAGAACTGCCAAATTCGTTCCAAATGGTGGAGGGTATTTAAAGTTCGGCCCGGCCGAACTTACAGCTTGTTTACTTGTTTTTAATTATTTTTTTTTATCATTAACTTACCTATAAATTCATTGCGTATTCGTATTCGATCTTGCAGAGTGGCCGCTGATATTATCACACAATTGATGAATGCCAGCAGGGCGACTTGATATTCAATATTAGTTGCCTTCTCCAATTCGTTGATGACAATTTTAAAACGATAACGTTCATTTTTGAGATTCTGCAGAGAGAAATGGAAAATATGAAAATGTTAGAAAATGATTACAAGGTCATTGATTTGGAGTAGAACAAAACGACATATATTGAAACTAACGGTACTTACCTTATAAAATTCTAATGTTTCTATGGCACGAGTATAACCATCTGCATTATATGCACATAAGGCCGATAGCAATTCGAATACTTGCTTCTTAACTACGGCATTGTTCGTATCTAATGCGGTACCTAATTTCGAAATGTAATCACGATTTTCGACAATGTAATCCAGGCCGATGCGTGAGTCCATTATGTGTGTGTGGGTGTGCGTGATGTATGAAGGCTCCGCTTAGACTGAGTCTAGGGCGGGCACGTTCCTTTTTCAATGGATAAATAGAATAGTTGTGTTCGAAGTTCGAATGGTTTATGTTTGGGGTCGGTTGGTTTGACTGCCGCCAAATAGTTTTATTTAAGGGAAAATAATTTTAGGGTTTTCCGGTTGAAATAAAATAATTCGAAGATTTTGGTTCTCCTAAACTGCGTTCGCTTGAAGCGTCTGTGTAATTGACAATTATTACCAACGACAATGCAAGTTGGCTGTGGTTGTGATATATGCCGGCAACGACAATGTCTAGAACGTGTTGTCATTTGTTTGTGTAATTACTCCTTTGGAATTTTCAATTAGTTCATATGCGAGGCGTGTTCTTGGTGTTGTTGCTGCTGTTGATGATGTCTGCCGTGACATGACGGGTATTTGTTGCCTATGCGCCTGTTCCCAATTCTTAAAAGCCAAATCTGGGTAGGGAATTGAATAGATGGGGAAAAACTGCAATCAGGGAATAACAAGAAATAAATAAATAATTGTTAAGTTAAGGAAAAAATATAAAAAAGTAAATATGTATGAAGATAAATAATAATTTAATAAATAAATAATAAGCAATTAAATAATTAAGAAATATAAAAATAGGCACATAAATTTTGAATATATTTTCAAACCTCCTCCAGATGTGAAACACAGATACCACCTGTAATCTAAATATCAAATTTCAGAATTTATTTCTATCTCTTCAACAAGGACCAAATTAAGATCCATTTAGCAATATTCGAACAATTAGAGTACGCATTTCCGAAACCACCTCTGTATGTCCAGGGTACACATGCACTATGACCCTAATACCAAATATTAGATTTCAAGCCCTATTTGTTCACCCATTACCCAATTGTACCAAATATGGTACTATTTAGTACTTTTTGTGCTCTTGTAGTACAAATTTCCATGACCAAACCTACCACTAACAGGGATCTCAAATACAAAATTTAAAAATCTGCATTCGTTCACCCATTTGGTACAGTTTCCAACCTTGATTCTCATATAAAATTTCAAGTTTCTAGCTCTATCTGTTCACATAATACCAAATGATTCCATTTTAGAACTTTTCGAAAAGTTTAAAAAAAAAAACCTTTTTACATTTATCCTGAACTCCATCAGTGACTCTCAATCCAAATTTTAGAGTTATAGCTTGTTCCCGTTGTTCAATATACATTATTCAATTTTTAGTACATTTTATTACTTTTCGTACCTTTTAGTAGGACCCACCACCAATACTGGCGCCCTGGCAAAAATTCAAGATTCTAGCTTCAGCCGTCGTATGGTCAGTCGGATATTTCACTACTCTTTTCTATGTATAGATTTTGACGTGTTACGATCCTGTTTAAAATAAGTTTTTAACCATATTTTCAAAAAGGCACCACACAGACCGCTTGATGGTTAAAATAATCCTCGTATTTTTATATGCAAGATTTCCGAAAACACTATATACATAAAATTGATGGATTCCAAGGAATCTCTATACAAATGGTTGAACAAGGTCGGCCGGGTTGAACTTTGAATACCCTCCACCATTTGGAAGGATATATTGTGGCTTATATGAAGACGTGGACCTGTATATGCAATTTTTGTCATGGGCCATTACGATATTCAAATTCGAAACTTGAAACAGTTTCAGTTAAAAATGTTACTAAGATCATAAAAATACCGAATATAAGAAGGCATCGTTATATGGAGGGCTACACCAAGACGTAGACCTATATAGCCCTTTTTCAAAATCAAATATCAATTGCAGACCTAACACACATCTGAGTAAAATTTTATCAATCTACTTCATTTCATTCGGAAGCTATAGTGACTTCCACAGACGGACGGACATCGCTAAATCGACATAGAATATTATTCTGATCATTTGTGGTGTCTGAAATTTATATTTCGACGTGTTACAAATGGAATGACAAACATAATATACCCTCCATACTTTGGTAGTGGTTATAAATCAATGTGGTAGAGATGATAGAGATGAGATAGAGATGGTAGATTTTCAAAACAACATACACACACATCCTTTTTTAATCTGTTTTTTACTGCCATAATCTGTTAGATTTTCCCTGTAGCTATTGAAAAAGTTACATTTGTCGCACAGTGTATTTAGGTAAATTATTAAATAAATTGATGCATTGAGGGACTTTAACACCATATTGGTTAAAACATATAAAGGATGAGATGTATAAACTGCAACCAAATTCAGACTGCTGTTATTTCTAAGCCACTCGTCCGACAGCTGTTAAAATTATTCAAGTGACAGCTCATTATATTGTTCACAAGGGTACAAAAGCACTTTGGTAAGAATTTTCCAGAAAAAATGTTATTCGTGATGGAATTCAAGCGTGATAATGTGAATTCTTCATATTTGGCTGGAAAACCACAAGTGGCTATCGTTAGAGCACTCCAGCATTTAAATGTAAATAAATCTTTTGTGCCTCGTACCATCGCTTGTTACCGTGATACTGGTAGCATAGCCTGACGGAAGATCAGCAGAAATGGTTCGAAAACGAAAGAATCGACTTGATCGAAACCCACATCGCAGTGGCCGAAAAATGGCTCGTGAGCTGAACATGTGGCAATATTCCATTCGGAAAATATTGAAAAATGAGCTCGCGGTAAAGTCATTGAAATCCCAAAGAGTGCATGAACTTACACCGCAACAGAAAGAAAATTGGCTCAAAAGAGCAAAGGATTTGCTTCGCTTTGCCGAAAGTGGTGAACTGCCGAATTTGGTTTTTTCCGATGAGAAAACATTCGTTCATGGTGATGGTGTGGGCCACAAGAACTCAAGTGCCGGCCATGGTGATGGTGTGGGCCACCAAAACTGACGATGCTCACTCTCCGCTCGTATTAATCGACCGTGGCATCAGACTAAATGCCGAATGACATCGCGAAAATATTCTGGAGCGTGTATTAAAGCCTTCCAACAGGACTCAAGACCATCGCAATCAGCACGCGCCACAAAATGAGGTTCCTCGCTTCATTTCCAGCGCACAATGGCCACCAAAATATCCGGATACCAATCCGTTAGACTATTGTGTCTGGAGTATTTTGGAAAGCAATTTTGGCACTACAAAATACCAAAGTGTCGATCACCTCAAGCCAGCACTTCGCTGGGAATGGGCCAAAATACCGCAGAGCAACATTCGGGCAGTATGTGACGGTTTCATTGGCCGTTTGAAGGCCATAATTCGTGCCAAAGTTGACGAACAAATCTAAATTTAATCTAAAATTTGATGCTATTTCCGACATTTTTGCTTTCATTCAATAACATTTAAAAAAGTGTAAAAATGATGGCGTTTGACTTTGTTGTAGTTTTTTATCTCTATATACATAAATAAATAGGAGCTTTATCCAAATCAGACCAGATCTCTATAAAATTTGACTGAGGTATTTCTGGGCTGTATCTGATATCTGGTACCAAATATTACTTTTCTGGAGTGCATATTATATATGTGGGAGACCAAATTTGATGTACTTGCTTCTACATTGAATACGGGCGGATGTGCCAAAATTCGAGTCATTTGGTCTGATATTTTTCATTTGGTGCGCAATTAACCCGAAATCGGTTGAGGATATGTATGGGAGCTATATTTAAATTTGAACCGATTCTCACCAATTTCAATAGGGTTCGTCCTTGGGCCAAACAAATGTTGCTTGGAAACTTTCATCTCAATCTGATATTAAATGCGCCCTGCATTTTATTCGTAAAAATACATGGACAGACGAACTGACATGAATCAATCGACTCAGAAAGTGATTCTATAAAAAACGTCAAAAGTAAATAAGGGTCTATCTCGCTTCCTTCTCCATGTTACAAACAAATGCACAAACACATACCCTTACTACAATGTGGTGTAGGGTATAACAATTATATAATTTGTGGTGTACAGTATTAAATTATAGAGTTTATATTTTACTATTATTTAAAATTTTTTTTTTATCAAAACCAGACTTTGGGAAAATATTTATATTCTGTTGATATAATTGTGGTTGTATTTTTCTGTTAAGTTTATTATTAATTTACAAGTTAAGATTGTTTTTCTTGTTTTTGCTTTTTTTTTTTTTGTATTACAGATGCAAAGTGTAGATAGCTCGGAACTTGTGTTGGCGTTGTTGACAATGGCAAGGGCCTCGTTGTGTTCATTGGTTGCTGTTTAATTCTTAATACGTTATTCTGATTCGCGCGTGTGTGTGAGAGCGAGAGAGTGCGCGCGAGTTACGTATAATCATACTACCCCTGATAAAATTGATAAGTTCTTGGAAACAATTAGCCAATAAAACGTGTACAATTATTGCACTGTAAGCATAAGTGAATTTGACATTCTTTAGTTTGACTTTATTTTATTTTTCCAGTTAAAACTGTCTGGAGCTGAGTATACAATTATTTACAAAAGTGTGTTAATCAAATTTCATTTAAAATAAACTTATGCTAACACTGCAATAATTAATTAACAAATAATACCTGTAGAATAAGTAAATTAAAAATGTAAAAGTTAGTCTTAGTTCCATCCTCTTAGTCGCAAGTCGACGAATAAATAAATAAAAGAAAGAAAAAAAAACAATTTTTTTTTTTAATAAACATAATTAATCAGGTTATCTAATTGGCGCAGTCGGTAGGATCCTTTAGGAATTAAAAAGGATCCAGTGAAACGTACCTAAATTATAAATAATTAAATAAATTCTGCGAATCCTACGGGACCCTCCAGGATTATAAAATAAACATTAGTGCAGTGAATAATTAAAAAAAAAAAAAAAAAAAAAAAAAAAAAAAAAAAAAATTAAACACCACTAAAATAAACAATAGTGCAGTGAATAATTCAAAAAATTGAACACCACTAAAATAAACAATAGTGCAGTGAATAATTCAAAAAATTGAACACCACTAAAATAAACAATAGTGCAGTGAACATTTAAGTTAAGTGGACACCACTAGATAAAGGAAGTCAATCCTTTTTTTTTTCTTTTAAAAGTGTATTCGCAAAGGCAAAAAGTCTTCGACAAACGAAGAAGAATGGAGGAACAAGCTCACATCGCATCCGTAAATGTGGCAGAAGAACTAGCCAGAAAGGATCAACAATTGGAACGGTTACGCCAAGCATATCTAGAATTGCAACAGCAAACACAAGAACTACAACAACAACAGCGTAACCCGGTGTTATATGATACACAATCAAATAATGCAAAAGACAACATTTTAAAAACGATAAATCATCTACCCATTTTCACCGGCACCGGAGAAGTAACGGTGAACAGCTTTTTTAGTAGCACTGAATACTTGCTGTCAACTATACAAGATGAAAATATTAAGAAGGAGGCCATAAGAACAATATTCTATAAAATAATCCAGGGACAAGCTAAAGACGTCATAATAAACATACCCACACCGGACAACTGGCAACTAATCAAAGAGACTTTAAAACTAAGGTATAGACCGAACGTGGAACCAC